TTTCACATAACTTTAAACTGATTATGTTGTTGTGGCTGTTACCTTTTCGTTTACGACTGGCGGGGGGAGGCGGAGTGATACTTTAAGAGATTCGGCTGGAGTATCATTATCATAGAATGTCTCAGCCTATCGCATTGTGAGATCGTAACTAACTGTGGTATAATATATCGGGAAATCACACTTTTTAGCATGATTCAGTTCTATTATTTTCTTATGATTCAGAAATTTTACACAAATTACTGAAAAACATGACTGATGGAACTTTTTACACAGTAGTGGAACATAGACAATAACAACACAACACAACAAGCTGTTTTTATCGTTAAAAAGTGTTGAATAATATTGAATATTGTTACATTTGACATTCCAAAATCAGTACAGATGAATCACCACCTTATGATTGGTTTGACACAAGATACCGAAGGTCAGTGTTGTGAGCAAATACGCCCCCTAGAGCGACCAATTTTGTTCCTCATATTTCTTTAAATATTTACTCGGCATGCCGAAACTGATCAGTCAGATATGATCTCATATCATGCCAGCAGTGTGTGAAATCACTGGTTGTACAAGTTCTACACTGTAGATTAGATTGGACTGACCTTGACACAGAGTGAGTGACATTCCTGTTTATTGTCTGCTGGTTACAAAAGAGGCGAAGCTCTGAAGCACCTCATTGTGTCCTGACGAACAGAACAGCTCGGAAAGTTAACTTGTTAATAAAAGTTTTTAGAGAAAGCACAAACCACAGTGATGCATGTGCGGTCATTTCTAATAAGGGTGGCATTGTTTCTCTCCCATTCACTCTTTATTTCTCTTTTTTTTTCTCTCTGTTTATCCGTTGTCCATTATCTTCTCAGTTCAGTGAGTCAGCACACTGCAGTCCCTCTCTCAGACAATGTCATTCTGTCACTGCACACACACACTGTGTGGTTCTGTACCATCAGAGAAAAGCTTCTATCAGCACAGTCGCACTGCTGCAGCGGTTAGACCACCATTAGACCGTTAGAGCAAAATACTGCGTATCTACAGCATCACAACAGACACACTCCTGTAACAGTCAGACCACAGTTAGGCAGGTTTTATATATAAATATATAGGCTGTGCAAAAGTCAGAGATCGAGTCAAAACTGCCATTAAGTACAGGTTATTCTTTTTTGACCCATATTTAACACAAAAATGCACAGAAGCCTCAACAACTAAATATAATATTACACTTTTTAGTATTTATTTTGTTTGCTCTTCCACTCTTTTCAGTTTTTCGAAGAAATCTGCAGGGATCTTTTTCCACATCTCCAAAGTTCAGTCTTAGAAGTTGGTTACATTTTCTGCTTCTCACCATCCAAGTAGTCAAGCACATTCACTGATGTTGAGGTCTGGACTCTGGGGTGGTCAGTCCATTGCTCTGCTTCTGTCTCCTTTTCTCAGTGAGGTTCTTCTTGAACAGCTACACAGCCTTTCAGACCCACAGCGCTGAGTTGTCTTCTCACAGTGGAAGGATGGACAGAAACACCCGTGGATGTTTTCAGATCTGAAGCAGCTTGATTTTCTCCTCTCTCTTGGTGGTCTCCCAGGTCCTACGGGTGGTTGTTAGGAATCCAATTTTCTCTGAAACTTGAACTCTAGTTTTGCAGATTTCTGTTTTCTCAGCTACTTTCCTTCGACTTTCCACTTCTTTATGCAAGCGGATTATTCCATATCTAATCTCCTCAGAAATGTCTCCTGAAAAATTACTTGTATTTAGTGGTGGTTTTGATTGGAAATACATAGTGCTGAAATCATCCTGAATTGCAGGTTAACATTTCAAGATGCGCTGAGTTGTTTCTGAGATTAACATCCCCAAATGGACATAAAATGAATCAAAGAATATAAGTACAACTAAAGGAAGTGAAATATCACCGCTGTCCAAAGAAAACCACGTATCTCCAGTTTTTTTTATTTTCAACACACCAGCTGTTCTGTATGTTATATGGAAATTTCATGATGAATGGACCAATAGAAATGCTCAAAAATCACTTGGAATAAAACCTCTTTAAATAAACTTACAGTGAAAGGTAAGAGCGGTTTTGCCTTCTCCTGTGAAGTTACTATGTGGTGATACCTGTTTTTCTTTGTACAGCGACGATAAATAAAAACAGATAAACAGAATAGTTAGTAACAGAGGCCAGCTGGAGCTCAAATAAACAAACAGCGCTCAACACTGCCCTCTAGAGAAATTAAAACACCAGTCAGACGTTTGGCAGTTTTTGTGAGACAGACTTCAATGAATACATTTTCCGCATTATTTCGTTTACTTGTGTTTGCATCAACACAGCGAATGAAAATGCAACTGATTAAAATAATTGAGATCAGCTTAAATAATTGCAGTCGGGCGATTATGAAATAACTGTGACAGGCCGGCTCATCAGACAACACACACACATACAGACACACGCAAGAATCCTGTGTGTCTCCTTAAAAACTGATGAAGCAGAGCTTTCTCCCATCCTGTGTGTATGTGTGTGTGTGTGTGTGTGTGTGTGTGTGTGTGTGTGTTTCCTCTGCAGGGATTTAGCTGCAGCAGCACGGTGACCGCAGCAGTGCCACTAACACTACCGTTGTGCTGCTTATATAAGACTAATGTTACTGTTCCACAAAGGAAGCACCCTTTAGTTTCTCTGGTCTGGTTTTGGCTCCGTATGTTTGTGTGTGTTTGTGGGAAAGAAACACTGTAGCTTTTAAAGTCAGTCATGCTCAGTGACATTGAAGAAAGCCTCTGCATGCACATGTGTTCGCATGCACACAAACACACTCACTGTCATGGTTGATGTAACTGGAGATGCGTGACTTAATGCTGGAGGAATGTAAGTCAAACTCGCTTCCCCAGCACACACACACACACACACACACATACACACACATACACACACACACATACACACACACAAACATCTACACATGGGCAATACATGGAAACACAACCTGACATGCAACATCCTCCGAAACCCAGAACACATACAGTCTAATTATTCATGTGTTTTCATTTAAATGAAGGCAGTAAATCCTTCCAGTTTTTCAGCTTCCAGTTCTTCAGCTCTTTCTCTCCAGTACGGCTGCAGCAATCAGTCGTCGATGATTATGGACAAAGTTTGACAGTTTACTAGTGATCAGCAACTCACTAAATGCATAATTTGATTCAGAGTAATACAGTGGTGTTGATACGATGCATTTTTCGAAACAACAAAAGTAAGAAGTGGCTCAAAATGTGACTCACATGAAGATGTTAATGTTTCCTTTTGTAGTTTATTAGAGCATTTAGCATAATAAAAGCTCTTCCGAACATATTTAAAAACTAAAGCCCCTAAAGTTACACTCTAGCCACAAGGAAAGGGCTTGTAATGTCTTCCGGGCTTCTCAAACACTAGAGGGCGCTCCCGAGCGAGTCCAGAATGAATGGATTAACATGGAGCATTTGAGTCATAGTTTATAAATGCTTAAACGTTTTTAAGACAAAAGAGTGCATTCATATCCTGAACACAGAACAGCGTAAAACATTTGTTGTTATATCTTAAGAGCCTTTGAACTCGAGTTACAGGAGTTTCCATTCGCCAACCAATCAGCACTCAGTAGCAGTAATGCTAGCGTTGTACTGCCCAAAACTTGTTTGCTGTAGAAAAAAGGAAACATAGAGGTGAGTTTTCTTTGCTGTTTTAGTGAAATACATCCTTCTGCTTTCTAAAATTAAAGAAAAATTCTGGGCGAGCGATTAAAAACAATTTTAACTTCTCGTTTTTAGCCGCTGAGCTCGATTTACTACCATCATTCGAGGACTTGCTCGTGGGCGCCCTCTGCTGTTTTGCAGTCATGTTTTTGATATAACGGGGGGAAATAGGAAGTGGCCGGGCTCCTCATAAACCGGCTCTGGCCACAAGCTATGTTGACCACAAGCTAACAAGCTAATTACAATTCAGGATGTGCTGTGATACAATTCAATGTAACGCATATTGTATTATTACATCCCCACTGTTTACTTGAAAACCAAAGAGCTCTACAGTGCACATATCACTTTTCTACACTATTTGAAAACTCCGGCTTCCTTTCATGATAAATGGACCAAAATAAAGAGTCCAAAAAATATATAATTAGACAAACGACTCATCTTCCAATATAAGTTACAACAAGTTATAGTCGATTCCTGTGGAGATGTTAATGTAAATATCAACCACAGAAGTGAGTTGTCTCTCATTAACGCCCTTTACACCATTGCAAACTTGCGGCCTCACAGATTCGACCGTGATGTCACTTTATTGAACATCATAAAACATAGATCCAAAGTCTGTGAGAGCGGAGACGATGGGTCCAGAGTCTAGACTTTTAGGCTGGGTGACAGACAGACAGTAATGGTGCCAGCGAACTGAGAGGAATAGTCAAATGGTCAATTGTTCGAATAACAGTCTGTAGATTCATTGATAATAAAGGTCATCGTCGCAGCCCTAAACTCCAGTGAGATTCCAGTTTGGTCCAGACCACTAATCTCATCAACCACGGAGACACGACACTCATCCGGACGTTTCTCCGAGGCTCCTCTGCCAACATTAACAAACACTGATTATCAAGGAAAAAAGCTCCAGATGACTGATTTATTTCTCTTGTCCTTCGTTATTAAAACTCATCTTTATCTTTTTTCCAGCCATGTGGAAAAGCTAATGAAATCTGCCCTAAAGCATCTTCCGTTACATAAGCAGGGATCTGGGCCTTATCCCTCTTTACCGCTGTGCCGTTGCCTGTTTACGTCTTTAGAGTTTTGGCTCCTCGGTTTGAGGTGTAAATAAACGAACAGATTGGAGATACAAATAAACTGAGGCATTGAACGGAAGAGGAGTTTATGGAAGGAAGTCCTGCATGGACGCATGGACACTATTTAGGGAATCTAACGTCTCCATGAGGAATACTTTACATTAGAGTCTGTTTGTTCTCCATTAGAGTGGACATGCTAACATTTGCTTCTTTCTCTCTCTCTCCAGGCAGGATGGAGTGACACAGGAGTCATGGATGTTGTCCCATTCGGAATACTTGGTGTGCTACCTTTGAGTGGAAATTGTGGGAATACTCTTGGCCCAGAGACTTTGATGCGAACAGTGAACTAGAGCCTTCAACTTCACGACGTCTCAACAGCTGGACTGCTTCATCCTTCTATTCTGTTTGCATCTCTTCTGTTGTTTTCTCTTCTCCTTTCTTTAATCATCTTCTCCTTCGCTTGTGTTTCCTTTTCTTCTGTTTGTGTCTTTTCTTATCTTCACCTTCTTTACCTAGTCCCTTGTTCTGTTCTGTGCGGTTCCCTTCTCTTTCTGCCCTCTCTTTTCTCTCTTTCTTTCTCTCCTTCTGTCCACACTGTTGCGGGAGTTGTCTCTGTGTTGCTCCGGGCGACAGCAGGTGTCGGACATGTCCACCAAGGCTCCCATCTACCTGAAGCGGCGGAGTCGTAAAGGAAAGAAGGAGAAGCTGAGGGACCTGCTGTCGTCCGACATGATCAGCCCTCCGCTGGGAGACTTCCGCCACACCATCCACATCGGCAGTGGAGGAGGAGCCGACGACCTCTTCGGCGACCTCTCTTTCCTCCAGGGCAAGTTTCACCTGTTGCCCGGGCAACAGGGTCACCAGGGGGCGTTCCAGTTCAACCGCACGGCCAGCGTGAGCGCCAGCCACCCGCCACCCGCCAGTGAGAGCTCTCCGCTGCTGAAGAACGCCTTGTCACTTCCAGTCATCGGCAGAGTGCAGGCGCTCACCCTGCCGGCCCAGACCACCTCGGCCTCTGCTACCGCCGCGACTGTCTCCGCCCACTCTCACCCCTCGACGACGACAGCAACGTCTGCGACTCTCGCCCCGCCTCCGAAACCTCCCCGACTGCACCTGGAGTCGCCACAAGCGTCACGTCCTGCTTCTCCGAACCCCAAACCTCATTCAGACGCCAGGGAGGAGGAGAAACGAGGGAGGAAGGAACGTGAGGAAGAGGAGGAGCGCCCCTTTCTTTCTCATGCAGGGTCACTCCTCTCTTTGCACCTGGACTTGGGGCCGTCCATCTTGGAGGACGTCCTGCAGATCATGGATGGCCCGAGGGTAGGAGGAATCAACGGAGGATTCACAGCCAACGGACGACAAGAGATCTACACCTGAGAATGAAAGAGAGACAGTGAAATGCCTCACATTCTCTCTGTCTATGATACATTCTTATAAGTGTGGGCGTCACAGCTGGAGGAATAGTGGGGCTGACTGCCTCAGAGTGAGTCCTGAACTAAAAAACGTTGTTTCTACGTAATTAGTGTCATAACTAAATGAACAATGGCAAAATAATCAGTATAAATAATCACAAAACAACAAGAGGCTCTCCCCCACACCTCCTTGATGGGAACAGGGCCCCCACAGAGATGGAATGCCCCCTGCTTGTAATCCTCCTTCTTGCTGAGCTGCTGGCTCACATGGGTGCTGGATAGAATAGTAACAAGGCCTGTCACAATTATTAAATAATTACTGAATTGTTTAGGCTGACCTCACTCCACAGTTGTCAGCTTTCACAGTCATGTTTTTGTTGCATCAAACAGACTGAATGCTGTTCATTTTCATTAGTTGGGTTTAGACAAATGCATGTAAATAAAACAAAGCCGAAAACGCAATTATTGCGACGTTGTGTTTTACGAAAACAGCAAAAAACTTCTAACTGGTGCTGTAACATCTTTAAAGGGTAGCAGTGAGCAATGTTTGTTTATTTGAGCTTGAACTGTTTCTGTTGTCAATTGGGAGCTACTAAGTATTGACAGCTAGCTAACAAGATAGCTAATCATATAATTTGGCCACTTGCCAGTGTTAATAGTTGCATACAATTAACAAAAATTAGTTGTTTATATGGCAGTTAGTTTTCAGCTGGAGTATCATTATCGTGACAGGCCTCATAGTAACCATTCAGGTCGACACTGTCTTGGCTTTCCCCACAGTAAGAGCATCCAAGGCGGAATGTTTGCCCCTTATTCTCTCTTTCTCTGGACCTTGCAATGCTGAGAGAGGACAGTGGTCTTCCTGTAGGCCAAAGCATTGGAAGACTCAACGGGTGACCAAAGATCTGCACCTGAGAGAGAACAGACTGATGAAACACTGCTTTCCCTCTCACATACACACACATCCAACTTCCCACTTTCTCTTATTATCTTCATATTGAACTGCTGGATGCCGTGGAGGCTGCCTTGAACTGTAACCTGAGTTTGCATCACTGTTTTGTCATGGAAAGCACTCTGCTTCACTGTGAGAGCGTCCAGGGCTGTGGAGAACCGTTAGCCAGGAAAGGAAAAAACAGCTGACCTTCGGGCTGCACAGAATATTGCTTGTATTGTCCTTCACAATATCTCAAAAGACTACAAACAGTAAATGTACCTCAGTCCTTTCACTCTGTTTTACTGTGCTGTGAGCATAAAGATGAATCACAGATGTTCTTTGGATGCCTGGATGAATCACTGCATTCACGAGATCCAACAAACAAATAATGCAGTATTTAACCACATCGCAACGAGCTTCCACAGAGACATAGCACAATATACAATCGTATGCAAAAGTTTGGGCACCCCTGGTCAAATTACATGCTTTGTTGATTTTCTAAGTGAAAATATGTGAACACATCCTGTAGAGAGAAAACACTGCTCATTTTAATGCACAAGTGCTGTTTGCCTGCCATTTAAAGCTGCACTATGTAAGTAGTTTCTAGTTAAATTAATAAGAAGTAGCATTACCGAGTGTGTGCGCTGCTGTAAGTCGCCCTGTAAGGCCTGAAATAATCATTTAAAAGTCAGGGAACATTTTCAGGCCACCTCATACACATCTTTACATATTAAAACCCCTTAAAATCTCTTATTACATACTAAGGCTTATTATTCAGTAACTACAGGAACTTCAGTGCAAACTGGCTGAGCTCTTCTTAGGTTAGAAGTGTGTAGTGAAACTTGCTGCCTGCTGGGGGGCCTTTTAGGGGGCAGAATCAACTTTATATTGATGAATATAAAGACATGTTCTTCACCATGTTTTGACTGAGTTTGACTCTGTCTTGTCCACAATGGGGTCCATGAACCACAACCCACATTACAAAACTGTTCCCTGAGGATGTGTTAACTGAGTTTCACTTAGAAAGCCAACATAATGTAATCTGAGTTTTTAAAAGTTTTCATACGACTGTATGAAGCAAAATCATCATAATATGTTATCTTGGCAATATCGTCCAGCCCTAATTCACACGAAGGGTGTGAGTTTATACTCCCTCCTGGTTACATAGTCTTTATCTCTTTTTTGCCACAGCTGCTGACCCCTACACTACCTGGACACACTCTTTTTTTTTAAACGTGAAAAAGTCTTTTTCATCCCAGCTTGGACTGCTATTAGAGGCACACTGAGCATGTTTACTCAGCCTGGATCAGTTTTAGTTGAGAGATTAACTACAGGAGAAGAAAAATGACCTTCTCTCTCTCTCCGTGATGCAATGACATCACCTTGGTGGTGCGCCAGTTTGTGTAAAGGGGGAAAAATGTGCACCCCTCCCTGTGACCTGATACTCCTTTTTACCAGAGAAGCTTTCATCTTGTCCAGTGACGACGATAAAAAGCAAAAACAGCTCAGTTAGAGAGCAAGAAAACGAAACTGACCGCGTCTTCCTTCTCAGTGGAAACTTTAAATGACTCGGAACGAAGTGCTGCCTTTGCTGGAAGGTTCTTCTCCCCCCCCAGGGCTGTGACAGTTGATCCTTCTTTTGTGTTGAGATGACTGCTGTTTTTAGACGCAGGTGCAGTTACTGAATATCAGGCTTGTGTTACCTTCTTAACTGAGCCCCAGGAGTTCAAACCATATGGACTCGAGAGACTTTTGTGTAGCAAACAGGGTAACAAGCGAAGTCATGTGACGTTTAATGCAATTCAACTCAACCGAAGGTAGATCATTGCCAGAATAACTGACTGTGAAGGTGAATGGACAGTGATGTCACAGTGTAAACTTTGGGGCTTATAAAGCAAAAAGAACATTTGGGCCTGTTGCCCTTCTTCGCAGGTGCCTGGGGTCCGACTGTGCCACTAGAGATGCCTACCTAACTGCTAATGCCTTACTGCTAATGTTTAACCATTTAAGTTTCTGGTCAGTCAGGAGAAACATCACTTACATGCCAGCACTGAAAATGCCCCAGGCTGCACATTAGCATCTGTTGATGCTGACTGTGATTGGTTCATTGTAGTTTTTTATGATCAGAAAGGTTCCTAACTTTGTTCTGGAGCCCAAGAGAGGAATCCGTCACACAGTAAAGCTCCCGGTCACCTTCGCTACTTCCTTGAGATTCTCTAAATGCCTTTGTTAATGTATAACCTGTCCTAGGCACATGTATCAACTATCACAGACGTTTATTCTTTTGTTTCGAATGTGAATTTCCTCATTTTCCTGAATTTGGGCATGTTTTGTTTTGCAGTTTTTGAGAATTTGCAGTTCTCAGCCAATGTAGACCTCTGAGGTGTGTAATTTTGTAGTCAGCGTCACAACAATGTTAGGGGCTCCGGGTCTAAGCAGATTTCTTTTGTAGTGCCATTTCTTAAAAACTGCTGCTTTTGTGTCCTGAGGAAAACAGAAATGTTCAGACCCCAATAAGGAATCCTCAGGGCCTTAAGAGAACACCTATGATTTCTGTGCAATAAAAAAAAATCCATGTCAGTAATTTTTGTTCATTTTTATTTAAAAAATTCATCATGCTGTATTTAAAACTCATCAAATATGATGCTAATAGTCTTTATTTAATTGTTTGGTTGGAGATAAAAAGGTTAAATGCTTAAAACACCCAACAGAAAATGATCTAATCAGAATTTTGGTTGGTACAGCCAAGCCAGCTCCTCCTGGTTAGGACTTCAGAAGCTGAGCAGAAGGCCTAATGCATCAGATAAACAACCAACATGATTAGGAAGTAACAGTGGAATCTAAATTATGGGTACATTATGTCACTGTCTGTTAGAAGCCTCAAATAAAGCATGGACTGTGTTTTACAACCTCTAAATGTGTGTGATTAATCTAGACTGGCCAAAAAATGTTAATGTAAATTGCTGTTAGCTTAGTGCTGACTTTCTACTAGAAATCCATAGGGGCTCTACCAGAAATTAGCATAATGATAGTTTTGTTTTTATACAGGTTTCACATTTATGTCCCAAACCTGAAATGTTCCATCTTCCATACATTTTTCCACCAAATTGTATTGCAAGGTTGTTAAGGAGTCGAAAAATGACTAATGCTACATGCAAGCTAACACTGCTGCGCATTGAACTGACCTCATAAGACTGGCAACTTCACCAAAATACCCACACAAACCAGCAGGCTTTGTTAAATGTGGTAGTTAAATTGCTTTGACAGTAGCAGCCTAGAGGTTAAGTAGATGCTGGGGTGATATTACAGTGTACACACATTGAAACATGACGCCATTTCAGTGCTCGGGGCTGTTAGCTTGTTTTGTAGTGTGTGTGTAGCATTATTCGTATTTCGACTAGTGGATACATAAAACTTACCAGGTTGGGAACATTGTACCTCAGGCTGACAGCAGCGATTTTCGAAGACGCTGATCATTTTTGCTGAAAAAACAGCTTAGACCTGGAATTCCTAACACGGGGATGACGCTGCCTACAGAATGAGCTTCAGAGGACTATTGAGGCTGAACTTTCTTTTCATAATGGGGTACTCCACTATCTTTTCTGGTGTTTGTGTCGGTATTGGGCCCATATAGCCCTTCACTGAGTGTTGAGTGTGATGGCAGCAAAACTACTAGTTGCAACACCGAAATATCAAGAGAAAAGCTTTAACACAAGAAATCTGAAGTCTGTGGTAGCCATAGTGGCCTTTTTGACCCTGAACACTGTACAGAGAAGTAGAGCTCTAATTCACACGTTCTGACTGGATTAATGTTAGGAATAGCGTGTCCTACAATGCTAACAATGCTAATGAATGAATTCAGCTGAGATCATGCTAATTGGTGGCTGCTAACTTTCGAATTTTGTTAGACATTTGGTTAAATTATTACTTCTGAACAATTCGTATATTTTTTTGTCTTTATGAAGTAACAAGAAAAAGAGCCAGTTGACAAAATATGTATTTAGAATGATTTCAGTTTCATCCATGATGCTAAGCTAAATTATCTACTGTCTTCAGTCACAGTCTTAATATATCCACAGCTAAAATGTAAAACCTGCAGCTGATCATTTTAACAATTTCAAGAAATTGAAATCCAGAATTACTTGGGATAAAATCTCTTTATGTTGACTTGCATCAAAAGTTTAGAATGAATTTTGAATGAATGAAAATTTAGAATTTTTTTTTGGATTAGTTAGTATTATTACACCATAACGGACGGCCAGCTGTCCAGTTGAGTGGTTGAGTGTTGTCCATGTCTCATTGTGAATTCATCTTGAAGTTTTCTCCATATTTGCCATTTTAAAGACTCTCAGCTTGTTCTGTGAAATCGCACTGACCCGTATAAGCTTTACAACCATCTTTTACGCATTAAGATTAAGTGACCCTTATTAGTCCCACAACGGGGACATTTCACCTCCACATTTAACCCATCCATGCAGTGAAACAGCACATACACACTAGTGAACACACACACACTAGGGGGGCAGTGAGCACACTTGCCCAGAGCGGTGGGCAGCCCTATCCACGGAGCCCGGGGGAGCAGTTGGGGGTTAGGTGTCTTGCTCAAGGGCACTTCAGTCACGTACTGTCGGCTCAGGGGAATGAGCCGGCGACCTTCCGGTCACAAGGCTGGTTCCCTAGCCTCCAGCCCATGGCTGCACTCCCCCCCTCTGTTTTTTTAAGAACTACCATTTTTTACCACTACCACTTTTTTAAGAATTACCTGCTTTCCCTTTGATGCTCTGTCCTAATGAGAAAGTCTGCAGCTGTTATGCACTCAGCCCTCTTTTCACTATTTTCAGATTTGAGATTTAGAAAGTTTATCGTCAGTCCCTTTTCGGAAATGCACACATGGCTGCTCTTCTCTTTGTGAATGGAAAATGTGATTAGATGTTCTGCGCTGCAGAGAGGACACTGGGGCCTAAGCTGGTGTGATAGCAACTGTGGAGTGTCTGTTACCGTAGAGACTGTTGCCAAGGTTCTGTTGTCATAAATCCGCAAAGCTGGCTCAATCACCGGACCCCCCCCCCGGGAAGGTGAAGACCCCCAGCCCCGTAAAGGCTGGTGTAGTTGGGGGACCTTGTTGTAGGTTTACTCTGAAGTTCTGCAGATTCAGTTTTTGGTGGTTTGTTTTGTTTTTTTTTCTGAAGATGTTATAAACCTGCAAATGTGCTTAATTCTTTAAAATCTGTGAACATTCATTTTGGACCAGATACTGTTTGTATAACCACACATGGTCTCTGTGACGACGTTTTAAGTTTTTTGTGATTGATTTATTCTCAGAATCATTCCTGACGATGACGTCTGCTCCGTGAGAAAGTTAAACACTAATGAATGAGTGACAGGCTGTTCCGTCTGTGATCAAGACCAGACACAGAGATTTTAAACTGTTTCTTATGCAGACTTAGACAGACCTAACTCTTTACCGCTATGGTTAATTATGCTGACGTATGTGGTTCCACTAATTTACCTGTTATCAACTCTGCATCAACTCTGCTTTTATCTATCGGAAACATCTGGACTCTGAACTGGTTGTAAAGAAACCTTCTCTTGCTGCTGCTACTGTTGTAAATTAGCCCCAATTGTACATGATGAGATGATTTGCAGTAAATAATGAGATATAAAGTGGTTATAAGCGATGAATAAATGTTAATTTCGGAAAGCTATGATCTGTCCACATCTCTTTCTTCCATACATAGTGTGTGTGACCCATCTGTGTTGAGCAAATCTTGAGTGAAATTAACGGGAGTCCAAAACTCTGAGCTAAACACAACAGTTAAACATTTAAAGGTGCAGTGTGTGAGATTTAGTGGCATCTAGTGGTGAAGTTGTAGATTGCAACCAACTGAAAACCCCTCCCTCACCCCTCCCTTTCCAAGTGTGTAATAGAACCTGCGGTGGCCATCATGTTTTTGCTTCTTTGATGACGAAGATTCACCCTCCCTCACTTTTTCTTGTGCTTAGTAATAAATATGATCCTCCATTTAACAAAATTTGGGCTCTCAAACTTCTCACAAAATGGTGGTTAGCCAGCACTGGCAGCACTGATTTTCCTTCTTTCTACATCTTCCAACTATTGTTACAACAGCACAAAATTCAAGCTACCTCTTCAGTGTAAAACGCGAGAGGCGCTGTCTAGAGCCACTGTTGGGTTGTTTGCTCTGGGCTACTGTAGAAACATGGTGGCGCAACATGGCGGCCTCTGTTGGAAGAGGACCGGCTCCCTATATAGATTTGAAGGGCTCATTCTAAGTTTACGAAAACACAGCGATTTATAGTTACAGGTGGTTTTGCTTTTAAGCAATAGAACACAAAAGGGAGTGTAACATCATGGCTGTGATTTGGTCGCAGGCACAAGCCGAAGGAGAGTACCGTGATGTTCTAGTGATAACACACGACCTCGAGCGTTCTATTGCTTTTATACAACAGTTAAATAAATAAAGTAAAATAAAATACTTACTTTATAAAATAAAGTAAGAGATTAATAAACTGGGCCGTGAACGCGGCGTTCAATATGTATTAATGTTCGCAGTTCCTTCTGCCAAATTATAGTTCCTTAACAAGCAGCTTGTGGCGACGTCAGAGTAACGAGCTCCGCCCACTCGCTGCACAGCCGGCAGTTCGTTCTCCAGCTCCACACAGACCAACGGACAGTTTGGGAATTTAGTGTAGTCTCATCTTCAGAGTCTGACCAAATCTTAAATTTTCTGTTTTTGGCAAAGTAAGAAGTAAAAACGTTGAAATGGCTTGAGCGTCTCCTACAGCTGTCAAAGTCGTTGCTTAGCAACGGCGTCTCAGCGGAGTGATATAGTGTTTGTGAAAAACCTGTGATGTTGTGGCGAAATATCAGCACGGTTAGAACGCCTCTAAATCAATCAG